TCGAAAAAATAGATTTTTCATATGTTTTACTATGTGATCGACAAAAATTACGTAGACTTTTGTCCAGTGAGTGTAAAAATTTTTTATTATTTTTAATAATAGTATTAAGTTATTGTTTGGGACAATTCTGCCGTTTTTATGTAAAATGGGTTCATTCTAGTCATAACAGTACTGACAAATTAAAAAAAAATGCTAATCTGGTCCAAGAGGAGGATAAAAAGTAAATTTGGAGCGAATTATGATAAAACGAGATATTAATAACTTGCGAGACACTAGACTTTATTTAGTTCATAACATGTGAAAAAGCAAAAGCTGAAGTTATTATTAACACAAATAATAAAATTGTTCAGCTACAATTACTTTTCTGGCAATTGGATTCGAGAAATTTCTAGATTTCCGTTTACCATCACAAAAGAGCGATTTTGCGTTGTCAAATTTGGAAATCTCTCTGACTGTAATACGATGCGCTAGATGCTATAAGTATAGACCTACCGCTATCGCTTCAAAGCAAAGTCCAACACGACTGCACGAAAAGCTGTTTAGATTGAAATTAAAATAACATCATAATTTAAGAGCACTAAACAATAACTCGTAAGTCTATGGGTGCGTGACGTCATTATTCAACTTTTAACGAACTGATATAATGGTAAAAAAAACGGCTATGACACAAAATGTACTAAATTAAACAAATTTATCTAATTCAATACGAGATTCTAGCTTTATTGTGGCATTCGCTTTTGGATTAATATTAATGGCAAAATACAGAATCTACATGACGAGTCTGTATAATAATTGTATAAAACAAACCATTCGTAGAAAAAGAATCTTCATTCGGAGAAATGTTGGCCCACACCGATACGATATTGTTTGTTTTACGTCCGTTTCTTCGCCTAATTCTCAATGATATCTGTTTCGCAAAATTTGGATGAATGAGTACCGAGCCAGTAATGGTTAATTGAGCTTCGAGCTTCGCGTTAACATCTTTACAAAAGAAAATAGTATTAATGAAAACCTGTTTACTAGATACGAAGTTGATCGTACTGGTAGTACGTTTATTATTAATATCACATATTTTACTAACCGCCGTTTTCTTGTATCATGATTACCTAAACGCGTACAGCATTTAAATAATTCTACAAACCCTTTCTAATTACATAGTTATCGTCCAAGCACAAATGTGACATCCACACCCACACACGCTCAGATATATTTATATTTATATATTTATATATATATATTCATATGTTATATGTTGACAGAGTCAAACGATATCTCATTACGTAATCCGTCTAGGAATTTCCAACCCCGGCCCCCCCCTCCTCCTCCCGATACAATCGTTCAAACCACATTCCATCTCTGAATTTCTCTCCATCCATGCCTCTCATCGGTTCTCTCTGCCATGCGTAAACTCTCATATAATACAACATCCCACTTACATTTTCCCTCTCGCACTTCATTGATTGCAATTGTCTCCATTGCATACTCTTCTAAATGATCAAGAAGTAGAGGTGTTAAAGGGGATAGTTCAGAATCGGTTAAAACTGGCTCCTGTTTACTAGGGGACTGCGAGAGTGATGAAGTGTGTTCTTGAGCAGTTTGAGAAAGCGAGGGTTCAGTGGGGGAGGAGGACGGAGACGCAAAGGGAGAACCTGTAAGAGATCCTACTCGTCTGTGTGTTATTCTTCGCGGTGGTAGTGATACGTGAAGAGGTTGTATTGAGGAATTTGATGAATCTATTGCATTTATTGTTCTTGCTGAATATGTTACATCACCCTTGTTCTTCTCCGTGCTAACGACCTCCAAAACTCCTTTTCTCTCTTCCGTCTCATTTTTTTCGTCAACAAAAGTTCGATTTGATATAGTATCATTAGGATTAGCACCGATTGGCTTATCCCTACTACTTTTCTCCAGAATTTTCTCACGATAATATGCCAACGAGATATGATCAATTCCTTTCTTCCTAATCTCACATCCAATCTCTTTCCCTGTCTTTACAACTTCATCTACCAGTCTGTGATACACTTCATCGACTTTCAAACCAATCATAACAGACTTTTCAGATCTAACAAAATTGTGTATCTCCGGTGACGTGAAGAGAGCCGAATTGGCAGCTATGAAATTGGATATTATGTCTTTTAAGATTATTACAGATGATGGGAAGTTTACGGCTGTGGAATAGATAGAAACGGGGGAGCGAGGCGAAAGCGGAAATCGATTGGTTGGGGAAGAGGAAAGTTGTCGAGTCGGAGAGTGAGAGGAGTATGATGGAGCAAATTTGTTGGGATTTAATATATTTATCGGTCTACTTATTGATTTCGATTCATTATTCAAGTTTTTATTGCATTCAACTTCCCCCCCTTTCCTTCCTTCATCGCTGCTCAATACATTCTCAGCTTCCGTTCTGTCTCTTATGAATCCGCCCCCGCCGTCGTCATCGCTTCTGTTATTGTCATAATTTCCGCAAACAAAAAATCCCGTCATAGAAATATGTGGTTGATACTGCTGTGCTTCATTCTCAATATTCAGTGCAATACTTGCATCATAGAAGGACTTGATTGTCTGGTAGAATTCGGACGAGCGGACAGGCTCTAAGTAAAGAATGCAACGGCGTGGCGATGGACTGCGGTGTGACGTGTGAGTTGGAGGTGTAGAATAAGGGAGAGCTTGAGATAGTGGGTTTCGTACACTGTCGGCAGTTGAAATAACCGCGATTTGTTGAGGGTTTTTAGTAGAAGTCTTTGTAAACGACTGTGCGTTAGAAAATCCTAAATTTAAATTTTTGTTCGAGACTTCTTTCGTTAAATGGAGATCAGTGTCATCACGTAACGTTCCCCTACTTCCAGTGTTTCTCTCTTTCCCCGCTTTTGTAGACTTTGACTTGTCGTCCATGCTTTCTATTTCGTAAAGTAGAAAATAATTTATGCGGACATTTTTCGTTTTGCGCACATTACATTTATACTCTTACCTCGAACATGTGCGATTAGTTCGGTGTGACATGAAATTTTTCGAATTGATGTGACCAATGAATCAACCATTTTGCCGAAATAATATTCCGGAACAATTAGTAAAAACAGGATAAGGGTTTCACGTGTTTGACAAGCTGATTCTGGTTAGATGGTGCGGCCATTGTAGAGCAAAAACAGTATTAGGAGGGTGAGAAAGAGTGTGGAGCATCGCGGGTTCAAAATAAACATAAATGACGAAAATTGTTAAGCATCCGAAAGGTTCTGATAAGGTGGTAGACGAACCATTAGTTTAACAAATAGATCAAACTAAAAAATATATATAATATGCGATAGAATACGTTTCCGTAAAGGCGGTGCGATGTTGATGGTTCGTCAGAATTACAGATAATAATAAACCAATTTTCGGCGCTTTTCCAAAAATGGATTGGTTCTTATTAAGAACAATGAATCTACGCGGCGAAATGGTTTGGTAACACCGTTCAGGACCCATATGAGGCAAACAAAGATCTCGTGATGTATCTACACGCCCCCGTTCTCACGTTTGAATCTGCAAAAATTATTCGGCTGAAAATTATTATATATTATGAGAAGTCATTAAGATATTATCGAACATATAATTTTATATAATGGAATTCAAAAATTTCAGCCAAAACCACAGAATCTTAGAAAAAAAATCTTTTGAAAAACACGGTTAAATTTCTATTAACAGTTTAAGTAACAAAGTGTGTTTGACAATTATTATTTTTTTAATACTAAAACATATTGTAAAATGAAATTATATATATGACTAACAAATCCACGTAAGCGCTAGATACAGTAATGATAACAGGTAGACACATTTTTGGTAAGTTTTCTATAAGTGTATAAAGCATATTAATACGAAAAGAGAAATTTGTGATGTATAAGAAGCGATAATTACTATACCCTTAATATTAAGGAAAAGTGAATTTATAGATCACAATTGGAGTACTATAACGCATGTTTCGGCAGAAAAAATTATTACAAAACAAAAAATTAAAATTTTAACTTACGGTTTGATTGGTGTTAACAGTGACATGTTCGCGTATTAAATAGAGTGTGGGTGGTATGCAAGAATTGTCCGTGTTTTCCCCCAACGCCTATCATAGTACTGGTTAACACACTTTAATATTTGTATACTTTCTCTGTTAACCAATTTGCTAGATTACACGGACATTTGTAACTATTTCTAATATTAGACGCCAACACTCTTTAGTATTCTGTTCAAAGCTTGACAAAATTCCAGCATTAAAGATTGTATTGCGCATAAAAATGCACTACGTCCGAAATGTTTATCTAAATTAGGATGCATAAAATTAAATCACGCCATAACACGGGGTCAAGAATTGTAACTAAAATAGTAAACGTAATTATTATAAAAATTCTAGTCGCTGGTTCCGTTGTTAATGCAGTAATGTGCCGAGGTTTACCATTCATACGCTAGTGTTACATCACATTCGACGTTATCACAACATTAATAATACATTTATATATTCATATTTTCTCATTAAAAAAGACCATGACCAGGAGTGCAAGATACAGTTCTTATCATATGCGTTAAAGAGCAGCTGAGGAAAATGTTTCCAATCGAAGCAATATTGCTCTTCTTAATTATACTTCTTTAATTAAGAAATTGTTCCTTCGCTATCTACAATCTATTATCGAGACTATGATAACAAAAAAAAAGTAATGGCGTGGCGTAAAGAGAAGACGGCGCTGTAGCTGGTGTGTAGCGGTGGCGTGGCCCAGCCATGACAACTGGGCTTAGATGCAACAAAGAGTTTAAAAAGCTGAGGGTACATGGTATTCAAGTTCATGTTTCTCAGTATCAAACGCTCATTTGTTTTGAAATGAGCTTATTACAGTCTGTATTAGTACGATTAGATCAAAATAGTCTATATTTACGGTTTACCAAAATTTGTACCAATAATTTCGATGCAAATCATTTTGTGGTTAGATCAAAAAATAGTCAATATTTAAAACTTGTACCAATAATTTCAATGCAAATCATCGTATGATTATCCCCAAATACAATCTAACCATAATGCCTAAGGATTCAAATCATCGTATGATTAGGCTACATCAAGACAGACTAATACTAACGTTTAATGCTAAAAAGTAACAAATCATGAAACCGGAATTCAAACAACGAAATGCCAACATCAAAATATAGTGTGCCAATTATTAATCATAGTAAGATTAGATCTCAGCATTGACCAAAGCGATTGCGTTATTGTCTAACCATAAACTACTGTCCAACATCAAGAAAATAATCGTATGACATTTAATCAATGTAAATGTATGTACTACGTAGAATAGAAACGAAAGGCATGCAGTACTCATGCTCCTACTACTACGTTGAAAAGACAATTCGAAGACTATGCACTTTCTGCTTCACATATTCTTTACGATTCGATCCGAATTTAAAATGAATAACACTATTTGCGAAATTGTTTCTTCTACTCGTGCTCTATACAAAATTAATGTCAATGGTTACCTCTCGGTCAAAGGCAAGAATCGCGATAATACGGTTTATTCATGTTGCAAAAAACATAAAACACTGCGATGCCATGGCCGAATGGCCAAGCAGTTATTAGATTAGTTGATAGAAAACATATTAATATTGTGAAAAAGTGAGCAAGAGGAACAAGCGATCAGTCAGTCAAACTGCGACTGCTAATACTTCTCGCAAAATACGTTTACATTTTATCACGTGATGCACTCCATTAAACTGTAAAATACTTTGGCGTAAATGTAACAACATTCGACGGGCCGCCTTTTTCGATATGAGAATTCCGACCTGAGGCAAAACAGGATACTTATATCACATCGAGTCTAATATTCGTATTGGTAATAGTCACCTTTCTGGATAATGGATGGCACGTCTAAAACCGTTCCTACAACTTTCAGACGATTATCCACTTTCACGGAAATGTTGGTGGAAATGACAATGCAGAATTATGATGTTATTGTTTCAAGACATACTGTAATTGATTTTAGTGAAAAGAAGATATCGATCTTCAACCACAGTTTAATCTACCAGACTTTGAACAAGACGCCATTAACGCTTGCTCGTGAGGAATTCTCAAGGGTTTGTAATAAGGGCTGTCATTTTTATTTGACCCAGAATATCTATCGAAGAATACAAATGTCTGAATTTCAGTTACTTATGCGGCACCTGCTTTCTTGCCACCCGACCAAATTTCTACGGCTTATTTTTTTGAGGCTAATGAAGTAATACGGATCAAGAAATGGAAATATAGTTCGAGATCCGCCATTATTCCCACCCGATTTTTGATCAGTCGTTGACAAAATTGATAAGGCAATTCGCACGTAAAATTCTGTGGAGGCATGGCATCGCAGGTGGGAAAATTATAGTAGGTCGTGCGCATGTAGTGTCTGTAAAATTATACAGGAAATATGAAAAGAGCAAAACCATGTTGAACTTGAGATAGAATCAACACTATATGCGTAAAACGCGAATTCAAACAGTCTTTAGTGACGTGACATATGGAATCTCTTCGAGTTATGCTCACAATATGCCACTCTAATATTGTATTATTATTTTTTTTGAATTTAAATTGTAACACGAGTTATTAGCATATAATTCCTACCAACGATTATGATGCTTATGATAATGTGGTTCAAACAAATGAACCGGACTCTCAAAATTAACAACCCAAAAAGGCGAAGTCTTTGATTTAGCTTAGTAGCTCAGAAAAATGAATATGCAGTGACTTTCATAAATATTGCACTTTTATGACAGAGATTCGTAATAATTGTAGCGATTGTAAATTTAAATCACTAATGTCATTATATTTTATTTCGTGTTGTGTTTGAATTCCATTATTGGTTTATTCGAGAAATATACTTATTTTTGATAGTGTAATAGTTTCCGGCACTTAATCCACCAACAGTACAGTGAATTCTTCTTAAATGTATGTCTTTGCCGTGATGAGATCATACATTAATATTAATATTAAGTTTCTGTAAACTGATAAATAATTGTATTTTATTTCACTCTGGGGTTAAAATATTAATCTTTGTTGTTTGTTACATCATACTAGTTCTTTCCTTCTAATACTAACATATTTTCTAAAAATATTGTCATTTTAGCATTTCTTGCTGAGCTGTTGATAAATAGTCATCAATGTCTACATTAATACATGATTGCAAATAAGTGGTTGATGGCTATTAATGTCTAAATCTAAAAGACCAATGGAAGACATCAAGTACAGCTTGACTATGAGACAACAGAAAATACTTTGATTGTCATAGTGTACACAAAAAGGGTTTGAAATAAAGTTTTTATTAATTGTGTAATGAAAAATAGCCAGAGAAACATGAAACTTTACAAATGTGTTTTATTTATTGCTGCTTAATTATTAATATTAATATTAATGGTTTATCTTATTTATATTACTATTACCCATCAATATGCTACAAACCATTAACATATGCACTTTGGTCATCTCTTCCCATTCTCATTATAAACAAAAAAAGAGAAAAAACTATTAAACTCAAATAAAAAAAATGAACAATAAACAATAAATAAATAAAAGAATAAAACGTATTATAATATATAACTGTGGGTCACAGTCTCATTTTTACATGACACATGTTGCAGTCTTTTGGGGGGCAGGTTGCAGTTATTTTTTTCTTTGAAGGGAAGACCATGGGTTGCAGTCTTCTTCTTTTTTTTTTAGAAGGGGCTGCAGGTTGTAGTCAACCTCAATCAACTGTGACCATTTGCTTTTTTACCAGCATTTTATTGACTTACTATTACTTTTCAACTCGTTTTCAAAATTTTCAACTAGTACTAGGTTGAGATCTGAGCTGTTTGCAGGCCAGTCTACCAATTTGGCCAATGCTATTATTATGCAAAAAGTTTTTTTGTTTCTTTAG